ATTGTTCTTTAAATAAATCCCATGTTATTTGATAAATTGTCAAGTATGTACAGCACGTATAGTAATATTATTTAGTAAAATAAATAAATTTAAAAATAAGAAATCAATAAATATAATTTTCATCAGTATTAAGTGAATAGAGAAAGTTCATCTGTTGTGACTCTTCTCCACACCAGAGTCATGTACGGTGGGTCACGAGATTCACGAAAAGATGCACTTTTTCGATCTACCAGTAGTGTGCGATGACAGCTGATGATTGGGAAGTGTGCCGGCCCTGATAGAATCATTGGAAGCTTTATACGATATTTTGGTGTGTAGCATCCACCAGATAAACCGCTTGAGGTAGGTGCTCTGTAAAGCAAATGCGTATAATCTGGCTGCTTTACACCATTCAAACATTTTCGCCGTGGAAGCTGTCCTGTACTCGACAATACAGCGCTTCCATTGAGAATGTGCATATATGAATATATATTCGAATATACAATGGAAATCTTATCATTTATTTCACATACAGTATAGAAATTTGTAATAAGATACTTAATGCGGTTATAATAAAATATTAATTTTAATTAATTCAAAGTACGTTAAAATATGAAAATAACCGCACAAGATGTATTTATATTTTAAAAAATACAAGAGAAGCGGCGCTTCCACAGATTCCCTGGACGGCACGCTACTGAGATCTATTAATCATTCTTATAAACATAATTTTTAAATTTTATTTTCATTTTCAGACAAACCAAAATATGCACGTTAGAACTCGTAGCAGATCATACATACACCGAATACATGGACTTTAATCAGGCGAAAATCGTCTCAGAAATGCTTTTATATATCAAGATTGCCGATTACATATTCCGAAATACTGATTTTGACGAAGACGGTGACAAAGACGATATCGCATTCAACGTTCAGAAAATTACCATATTCGAAACTAAAAATGATCCGGGTAATATTTTTGGAAGGGAAACCAAAGATTATAAGGAATTTCTACAAAGCTTGACGAAATATCACCATCCATATTGCATGCTAATCTGCTTCACTCACAGAGATTTTTGGACACCTACTCAATGCGCAGTTTCCAAAGTCAATAAAATCGGAGGAATCTGCCCTGGATCGAAACCGCTAGGAAAGAATAATAACGTTGGCTTCGTTACCAATATAGAAAACAAAGAAATTATTCCTCGATTTAGAATACCGTTAAATTTAGTACACCAACTGGGACATGCATTTGGTTGCCGAGACGATCCTGAAAAAAATAAATTTTGCAGTCCTGGACATGTAAATCCGAGACACGGAAATTATATAATGCATCCGAATATATCGTATGGTGCTTTTAAGAATAATTGGCACTTTTCAACCTGTTGCAAAACCACTTTAAAGAACTTCGTAAAGCAATCAAGTAAATTTTCTAAATATTTTACAGTTTGAAATTATTTTTAAAATGAAGTAAGTTTATAGAAACCTAAAGTAAAATAAAAAGTTAATATATTCGTAATAATATTACCCCTAAACAAAAACATGGCATATTTCGTAATTTTTGCAAAAAATAATTTTTCTGCAGAAAATAATTAAACTGACATCATATAATTGAACTTTTATAATAGGCAACTATTATTA